GGGGAGGAGTGAGCAAATGGCTGTGTGGTGTTTAACTGCCTGCCGGGTTAAAACACAACAGTGATCCTCTAGGGGTGGTTTGCCCTGCAGTGATAGCAGAAAGTTTAGTTCAGTAAAAGTAACACCTTTCTCCCCCATCTTTTCTCTCCTGGCATTTCCCTTCCCTGTTCCTAAGTGTGTGCTAGCTGGAGAGGCATCTGGCTCTCAGCCGACTCTATACCCTGGCACAAGTAGGGACTGCCACGATGCCTGTAGGGAAATGGGTCTGGAGAGGCAGTGGTTAGACAGGCAAAGGTCAACTGTCTGTACTGGATGGTAAAAATCATAAGCGAGTGTCCTCCCATCTTTCACTCCAAATGGATGAGAAGAGCTCTCAGGTTTGAGACCTGTGGTTTGGTTTTAGCTGAAGGAGCGAGAAGACAATGTTCTGTCTATGCTGGGTGACAGCTAGCACCCTTCGGCCTGTTTCTTGTGCACATTCCTCTGAAAATACCTTAGATAACTTTAAAACAAGCTTTTCCATTTTTGTAGTTGCAGGCATTTCTGGATGAAGCATTTGTCTTTACAAAACAGGGAATTTGTTTTCCAGTTGCGATCATTTGTGCCTTGACTGCATAAAGAAGTTGGGGACTATTTTATAACTAAACCCTCCTGCCTAAATCCCCAGTGACTTAATGTGGTACCTATTATGTTATGTCTTCATCAGAAAAGTGTAGCAACCATTTAATAGGTAAGAAATTGTAATGATTTGTCATGTCCAGGCTAGCTTTTATCTAAGACATAACAAAATCATGTGGAAAACACTGGCAAATTATTACTCTAACATAAGCAGAATGTAAATAAGCTACTTGCAACACATCGAATTGCAGCGGGTTTTCCATTGTGTTGTCTGCAGAGAAAACGCAATGAAAAGCACTTAACATGAAACAACTAGTTTAACGGAAAAAACCCAGAACTCTTTTACAGAAAGGCTCCCCACAGTGTTAATACACTGAAGTGTTAAGTCAGTGGTTTTGAAACTTGGGAGAGAGGAGAGAACAGCCTCAGGAAAACTCCTTCTGTCCCATGTCTATATGGAGCAGCCACCTCCTCTCCACCAGCCCCGAAAGGAGCTTTGCCTTTGCACTGGGCCCACATGGGGTTGCATGTTGCGGGTGGGACGAGAGTGGGAAAACTGATGCAGGAGTGTCTTCTCCCACTCCCCATCCTCTCCTTCCCCTTCTTTGCGGTGCCAAAACCAGGGGAGTAGGTGGCACGGGGTCAATAACATCGGAGGGCTCCCTCTGAGAGTCTTAGGGCTTGGGTAGCGGGGTGTGCCTGTCTGGGCAATACTTCAATGGTGAAGAGCTGTGCAGGGGCATGGGAGTGGGAGGGGAAAGCTCTGGTGGTGCTCCAGGGTCAGGCACCTAGCAAAGCACCCAGAGGGTGAAGGGAGCCCAGGCTAGGAGCAGGTCTGGGGAGGGTGGAAGGAGCCCAGCCTTGCTGGACCTGCGGGTACAGGATCTGGCGAGGTGAGAAGGGGAATAGACCATGCAAACCTTTGTATTTGAGGAAGGATCTGGAGGGCTAGGGCATCGGGGGGGCAGGCATATGTATGTGGAGGCAGGACTGTTAGGAAAAAAGGAGGCATGGGGATGATCCAAGGAGTCTGTGAACAGCTTCCCTCTGTAACTATGGGTCTGTCACACACCCTGTGTGTGTAAGAATATCTGCACAGCAGGGGGAGGTCATGGTGGAACATCAGTCTTAATTGGCAGTGTTTCCTTTGTTGGTTAAATGTGAAATGTATTTGGAAATAAAAGGTCAAGAGTCCCCTCTTTTTTTTTTCAGAAAACATGCATTGATTGCATGAAATTGCTTTTAAGGCAAGAAAAGCTCTTAGAACATTCTTCTGTCTCATGGACTCTCAGTTCCCTCTTTCTGCTGCAGTGCCCTTATTATCTGAGTGCAAAAGTCTGCCTCAAAGATGTGGCTACTCTGAACAGGGTGTGACAAAGAGATTGTCTCCAACTTGCTTCTGCCATTAAAAAATTCACCAGTTTAATTTGGATATACACACACCATTACAGCCTGTAGGCGGAAACAGTTGTCAATTCTGAGAAAAGTGGAGAGAGAACTGCAAAAGGAGATATGACAGGGAAGTCAGATGGACCTCAGCTGCAGCAGAAGCCTACTCCTCAGAAAGGGCTAGCGTGTTTCCATAGGGGAGGAGTGGATGTGGATGGGTCCTGCAGTGTAATTATACCTGCATGGTTAAACTATTAGAATTATATTTCTCTCTGTGGACAAACTTGTGTGGAAGTTTAGTCTCCAATATGTATAGCTCCTGATACCTGCTACATACCTTTAAGTAGTCAAGTTTTAACTGATGAATAAATTTAATGAGCACCCTGAAAAGTCCCACAACATTTCAATGGAGAATTGGTATCACAGAGCTCTTTAGAATTACATTTATGTGGCCTACAAATTTTGCAGTTAATGCTTCCTATAATACAACCTCTAAGAAAATAAATTCTTTAATTGGTATTTTTTATAAACTGGGTTATTTCATATTTATTATCAATTCTGCAATATGGTCTGACCTTACTAAAGAGCTACTTTCCGGATCATGGTTATTGCCTATGCTACATGCAGGGCAGGGAGTTGAAATTGTTGGCTGCTCACAACTCCTCTCCCGTTTGTGGCTTGATGTTCAGCTTTTTCCTTATGTTCCTTTAAAGGAGAAGTTGCTATTGATGTTTAAGGAACATCCTGGCTTCAGACACTCCTAAAGCCTGACCTTCAAAACAAAGCCTTTGTGTAATCCTCCTGGCATAGAAGGGAAGCTACTGATGTAACAGAAGTCTAACTTTCTGCTTGCTCAAAGCAAACTTTGCCTTTCGTAGTCAACAGGATAGATGACTTAGTACTAAGAAGTTTTTTCCAACTACTTAAGTACTTGGGTGTGCTTGTTTATATGGGTGTTTTTTTCAGAACTCTGAAACTCTGCATCTGCATACACAAATAGGCATTTAAAATAACCCAGTTTATGCATGCAAATGCATGTATTTATGACTAATTAGTGCTTCCAAGACTATGTGCTCAAAGGCTGTAGTGGGACGGGTCAGAACATGCAGGGGGTGCATGCAAGGGATGTGTCTGCTCTGGTAACTGTGTCCATCTGAGTTAGCAGGAAACTGAGGTGTCCCTGCATACTGCTAAGGATGCGGTATGGATACAATTGGGCTCTGACAGTTTTCTGCAAAGACATACCCTATCACTTGTCTACTCTCTCTCAAGAGCTAAGCCAAGATTGAGACATTTCTCTTTTGGAGGGCACTTTGAAATATCTTGGGGCAAGATTTGGACAGCTCAGCACTACATGCAAACCTCATAAAATATTTGAAAGACACAAAAAAGCACTTTTGGCTGTCTTGACCTCTAAATAAATGACAAGTGTTTCAAGAGAGAATAGGCAGGCTGTCACTGATGTTGGAAGAGAAAAATCTCTTTCTACAGGAGGAGCAGATGGAGCATGTTTTGGTGTTGCTGTGCACTTGTCTGCCACTCTGTTTACCCTGTATATACCTATACCAAGACATATGCAGCTCTGAAAATCAGCTCACGGGTTTTGCCTTCTTGTTTTTCAGTGTGAAAATAACCTACTTGTCCCTGTTATCCTCTTTAGAAATTCCACATCTTTTGCTGGCTTATCCCATAGAATAAGGCTGATGGATGCGTGCGTACACAGAAGCAAACTTTTGACTGTCTGGTCCCTAGTTATGGCTTTAGTCAGCTAAGTAATTTGCATCACCACTGAGGCATTAAAAAAATCACTTTGAAAAAATCATATTCATAAGGCATTGTGGAAAAACACAGGAAAAATAGCATTGGGGGTAGGAATTAAACCATTTCACCCCCAAAATATGTAATTGTGAATGCAAATTGTCATTTGAGTGCTCAGTAGAGTAAAGGTGAGAGGAGACTGGAAAGTGAAACAAAAGGAAAGTACAAAAATACTGCAATTAAAATATAATTTATATTTCTTTCTGAAATGCTTCATTTTTTTCCCCTCTAAGATGTTCTGACTATTCTTAGTAGCAGCATATCTTACAGGTAGCATCTTTTTTCTTAAGTAGTGAAAGAGCTAAATGTGAAGAATATCCAGTTTGGAATATCACCTCCAGAAAAAAAGAAGATAAAAGGTGTGTAAGTCCATGGTCAGGTGTCTGAAATACCAGACAGAAGAATGGTCTCCGAGAAAGTCCTGAAAAATTTCTCATGGATGTTTTTGGGGTTTTTTTGCTTTATATGTTCTTGAATCCAGCCTAAGCAGGTATTATAGCATGGGGTATGTGTGGGAGCAAAACCAGACAGGATGCTGGTACAGGTTAGAGAGCACAGAGCACATATGCTGTATTCCAACAGTTTCCCAACAAGGTCTCCTAATGGAGAGCTGGGAAATCTCACTGGGATCTTATTAATGTAATAATAATGTAATGTAATTCTTCCTGCTTATGCATGGGCAGCTTCTACCTCTCTACCTGGTATAAAGTATACATCTAGGCTTTCCACTTATACAGGGACAATGTCTGTGAGGCAGTGGTCTGCACAGCAATTTAGGATAGAACAGCATAGCATGGTATAGCACCTTTACTTGTGGAGAGGTGGGGAAGATAGTCTGGAGGTAATATTTCTTACAGTGACTAGGTAGGAGCCTTTTAACTTACTCCTTGTAGAAACATATCCCAAAGTTCTGTCTACTTGTAATATATGTTGTTATAATTAGCCCAAATAAGTGTAACCTAACTCGGTGTATGGCAGTAAATCGAGGGCTTTATGTGGTGTTCCCAAATTTTCTGTTTGGAGTGTCACACAGTAAGGAATAGTTCACCTCTTAGCTGATTTCTCTGGTGAGCACACTGGTATCACAAGACATACAAACAATTTATTTCCCAGCCATACTGTTCCTTTTTCTGTTGTCTGTCTGCCACATACAGTATATATAAAACCTGTCTTACCTTAAAAGCAAAGAAATGATCTGTGTATTTCTCACCGAACACAAACTTAGCACCTGTGTCAGAGTACTCCAGAAAAGTCTAGGGACAGAAAGCAAAGAAAGTTAGCCATAAGCTCCGGGTCCCTGCCAAAAACTAAGCAAATACTGCTAGTTGTCTGCAGAGATCTGGTGAGGTCCAAGGAGCTTGTGCTCTGCTCTGTATGGGTCCAGGCTTCACTGACTGTGTCAGGCTAAACTGCGGGTCTCTGCTTTGCCCTGCCAAGAGGGCAGGCTGCTTCAGAGTATGTAGATAAACAGCAAGGGCATAGGGCACATTTTCCTGCAGTACCCAACATGATAAAGGCCGTAAGCTATACTAAAAGAAAAATTTATTTTTTAATCCCAATACTGTGGTGCATTTCTACACTCCCTCTCATGCTAATAAGTGCAATAAACAATACAGTTTAAAATGGAGATTTAATGGCTGAAGTAATGAGTTTTGAAAGGAGTAGCCAAAAGCTAGTCTAAAAAAAATCTTCTACTTTTTAATTCTGATGTGGTGGTGCATTTTTGTACTCCTGATGCCAACATATGCAATTAATGTTACAGTTTAAAATGGAGATGTAATAGCTAGAGTAATGAGTTATGACAGGAGTGACCGTAAGCCATACGGAGCTAACAAAAGGGGGCACCAGACCCGCTCCAGTTGGAGACGGAAGGGGAGACTGAGAACCTGGTGACAAAACCCAGATGACTCCCACTGCTTGCAGATTAGCAGACAGAGAGACGTCAGACCTGTGCTTTCGCTCCGGCGCAGAGACAGTACATTCTGCACTGTCTTGTTTTAAATGCGCTTAATTATCCTTACTGTGAAGAACAGCTGTGTGAATAGTATCCCTGGGGTGAAAAGTCTGAATGTCCTTCAGTGGGTACTCTATGATCTGTATTTTGGATTTCTCTTATTTATTACTTTACAGTAATGGACTTTTTTAAAAAAACTTTGTGCCTGCAGACTGCCTGCAGGGACACCTACAGACGGATCCTGTCCTCTCTCTAGAGATCCTTTGCTGCTTGCAGCTGTGGATTTTGCCACCTGTAGTTGAATTCATTTTCTTATATGTTGTGAGAACTATGAAATGCCCCTGGGGCCAGGACTGTGGCTACTCTGAAGACAACAGTGGTTCTGCCTTGCTAAATCCCAAGGCTTTTCAGTGTATCAGGTTTATTGCAAGGATGCTTTGGAGTTGGGCCAGGTCTAAGAGTTTCTGTGCATGCCCTGGCACAATAGTGGTTTTGTGTTTGGAGGGTGCAAGTTATAATTTCAGCCCAAGGATGGTAAAGCCATTAGGAAACAGGGTCACTCTGGCCATTACTCATCAGCCTGTCCTACATGGTTGTGTATTAACTGGACAAAAAAGAAATGAGAAGGTTGAATTCAGGTAGTCAATTACCTTTCTGAGAACCCAGTTTTTCTCAAGAGGGGAAAACATCCGGTGGCAAATGGACCCTTGAATTGCCTGGCTGTTATGTAAGAGTCTCAAGACAGAAAGTGATATAAAAAACAAATTTTTGCCCAGTAGCTTACCTGGATCTGAATGCCTAGCCAGTTAAACACATCAAACCCCACTTTTGTCCTCAGAATAAGAAGCCCAAGAATAAACTGCATTCCTATTCCTGAAAATACTGGTCTCCAAGTAACCTAGATGGACAGAAAAATAAAAATAATTTTATTTTGTTATTTAAATAAATAATAATTTACTTTAGTTGTTTGTTAAAATAATGTAAGGGGATTGTCTGACTATACTACAGGATAGGAGCAGCTGCCAAAACAGGTTGTAGGGGACTTGGAGTGTGAATCACCTCTTCTAATTTGAGAACTCTGCAAGGTGGATGTCTCCATCTGAGCTAGCTGCTGAAAGCCTGGCTAGGTAAGTACGGACATGCCCATTTCACCATTACAGACTGCAAGTAATCAAGTAGTAGGAAAAGGAGAGATAGTTCTTCCTGTGCTACAGTTTATAGGTGAAATAGGCGTACATGAGGGCAGCAGACATGATGCTTTTTTTTTTTTTTTAACTGGAATGGAAACATCAAAAACGAAGTAATGAAGCATGCAGATTCTTCACATATCTGGACTAGGAACAAGGAGATTTTGCTACAGGTTTTTTTGTGTGCTTGGGTAATTTCAACTCTGTTTCTGTTCCCCAGCTTTAAAGAGCTTTGATACTTAAGAACTACTCACAGTTAGGTATTGCGATTCGTATGACATAAAGGCAGTTGTAGGAAAAACTGTGGTTGCCTGTGACCAGTCCCTCTTCACTACACTGCAGATTTTTGCTCTGCTGCCTCAGAAAACATCTTTGTTTTGTGAAAATTGAATCTGATTATTTACAAGACAAAGAGCTGAGATGGCACTCTCTAATTTATTCAGATGATATTTGAATAACACAAGCCAATTAGATGTAATGAGGACCCATGGGAGAGCACAAAGCATTTGGAATACATGAGTTTTCACCTCAGTTGGAGACAGCACCAGATGCAAAGGATGGGGAGTGGCAGGTCCATTAGTCCCTGCTGAGGGGACTTTTTCTGTTAAGAAAGCCTCAGCACTGATGCAAGAGTGTTGAAAAAATGTTGGTGAAACTTGGTGACCTGGACAAAGGATTAATATATGACTGATGAAAACATGTGGTGCATGCTAGGCATGCACACAGGGGTAAAAGCTGAGGTGGGAGTTGTGGTGGCTGAAGTAACCCCTTTGTAATATCACAGTAGTACAGAGTGGACATCTCAGCTGGAAAATTAAAATAAGTGGCATTGACAAGCCTATGGGAATGGGTTAGTGAAAAGTGAAGACCTCAGCTTGGCCTCAGCTGCTGCATTTGCAGTGGGAATCAAACTTGTGAGGGATTAAAAGCTACATGAGGGAAGCACACCTCCAGTTCCATGTGATTTGTGCTGTTGTGATGACAGTGTCCTCAAATAAGTGCCTGTGATGTCCTGAGGACTGCGGTGAGACTCCTGTGGGTGGAAAGCATGGAGCAGGCCTGCCTCAGCTTGCACTGATGCTCCAGGAGCAAATGTGTTCCAATCTGCATCAGGGCTGGAACAAAGGATGCACAGTGGCCTCCCAAAATAGTGAGAGCCAGATGCTGGTACAGCCCCACACATGCTCCCCAAGATGTCAGAGCAAAATTACTTTCCTCAGAAATGAAATACATCACTGGCTTTTGGCAAGCCTGAATTTTGATGTTCATGAGTTTCTGTTACTCTTACTGAACTTGGTGCTAGAGTAGGGGAATAGCTTTTGAGACATTGAACAAAACCCCCCCAAAAGATCCAACATGGACTAAATACTCACTCTGGTTGGGTATTTGGAAAAAATAAACATCAAGAGAACATACATCACAAGCCCACCAAAGGAGATCAGCTGGCAGGATCCCTGTTTTGCTGTGTCAAAGATGAGCCAGCAGATGATAGTTATAATAAGAGCTGCACACAACACCCTAGGAAAAAAAAAGTGTCAAGTATGACATCCTGAAAGAAGACCAGGTATTCCTTCCCCTTCCCCTCCCCGCAACATTTACAACTCTGTCTGTGAACGAACTCTCTGAGCAATGTATTAAGCTGAAACGTGTAGCTCTACACAAACAGGAACCTGCCTTTGCTGATGCAACTCTGATAACAACATCCCTTGGTGGCATCCAGAAGAAATGTCCTCCAACCATGTCCCCAAAGTCAGAGTGTGGGGGAAACCCAATAAAGCACGAGTGACTATTTTCTGGGAGTTATTTCTATTAAATGAAGCGTGAGAAGATACCCTCCTTTCTCACTCCATCCTCCTTTTCCTTTCCTGTCTTCTTCATTGAATCTTTTCTTAGCTCTGGGCAAGACAGGCTGTGGTTTTTATGAATTGCAGTATGCTGTTTAACTGGTGGACCTATGAAACACACACTATTGAGGAGCAGGTTATAAACTGTTTACTTCTTTGTAAATGGCAGTAGTCTGTTTAGAAAAATAAATTTTAATTACAACAATTTTAGCTATCTCAGAAACAATGACAAGATCTGTGTCCAGTGTTTCTATGATCCCCACTATCACAGAACTGTGTTCAGCTTGCATATTGAAGGTAATTACCACAACAACAGACTGAGAGGCAAGGAAATACATCATCCCATTTACAGAGGGGAAAACTAAACATAGTCCCAGTTCTTTAATGTTACTTGTGTCTAACAGTAGTTTAGCTTCCACTGATTTCAGTGGTAGCTAGATACCTAAATTCCGTTTTCAGACCTGGATCAAAAATATTGCAGGCCAACCCTACAAAATGACTTGGACATTGCAATGCTGAATAATGCTTTCTACACCTGAGAGAATTTCTGTCTCTTGGAGGAATCCGTGATCTACAGTTAAAGACTTAATCTGTGATATGTACAATTTAAGGATTGCAGCCCAGGTAATACAGCACTTACTGCCCCTGGCTTGTTCCATCTGCTTATCAGGGTGCTCCTGTTCTGTTTGCTCCTTCCCCCAAAGAGATCGTCTAATGGAGATGCCTGTGTGTGACTACTCTCTAATGTGGCTCCTGAGCAGAAGGACCACAATCTTTATAGCATCTTTCTTAGAAATTCCTGCTCCTGTGGCAAAACCATTTCAAAATCTTAAGAATAAGTTGGGACATTTCCTGAGCCCAGAATGACTCCTCCTTAGAGCTCTTTCTCTCTCAGATAGAAGGTGACCTAGCTGAGATAGAAGGCAGCTGGCCAATTTCCTTTTCCTTTTTAATGAGATTTCATTTGGTCTTTTCTTTGGTCTATGAGCTTCCTTTGGCTTCCCATTTTCCCAGGAATAACTTAAATGTTCCTGATAACTGCTCAGGAATACTTGGAATAAGTATCTACCAGATCTAAGTATCTACCATTTATCTACCAGATGAATGTCCACCATCCCAAATAAAGTTGTATGATCTTATTATGACACTAAATGTGGCTGGCATGTTTTGATTCCTGAAGGTCAAGTAAAAATCGCTATAGGGATATGTGAACAAGTAGTGTCTAGATAACACACTTCAGTCTTTAGCAATTTGCATACATTAGAGTTGTTAAGACTTTTACGAATCTCACAGCTCTCTGAACAAGTGACAGTAAGGCACTTTCTGGCTTGCAGAATGAATGCAGAAGGCTACAATACACCTGAACTTCTGTGAACATGTTCTTTTGCAACAACAAACTTGTCATATATCAATTTGAGGAATTTTTTTACACTTTCTGTCAAGGTTTTTGATACCCAGCTACTGTATTGCAATCTTAAAGGTGTGCTTGAAATCTATAAACTGGAAAATATTGAATTATTCTGTATGTATTCTTTGATCTTATTGCAATTTGTATGATCGATCCATCTCCCTGTGCTTATGGGGATGTAAAATGAAATAAAATTATAGGGCTGAATTGACTAATGCTTTGTCCTTCTGCATAAATAGGAAGTAATTAATATTTACCATTTCAGCCAAAACCAGTGTTTCTCCAGATATCTTTCTCCAGGGGAAAAGAATGCAGCAATTCTGTCTTCATACTTAGCTATTAAAAAATCCCAGCAGATGAAGAAGATGGCTAGGACAGTGATGATAAAGAGTGGCAAGGCTCTCTGAAAATTCAAGCTGCAGGCTGCAATAACTACCGCCAAGTATGCTGTCACAGAAACAAGAATATACATGTCAGTTAGGTTGGTCTTTTTCAAAACAGAATCAAATCTTAAATGTAAAGGATGTGCTTAAAATCAGGCCTGTGTTTATCTTTTAAGTGCTTTTCTGACTCGGCTTAAATACTGAAAAATTTAGCTTTCATAGGTAGTGTTGTTACTTACGATATGCTCATTGATATGAAAGGTGGCTTTCATCCTGTCAGAGCAGTTTATATGCTTTGGCCAAGCCAAGTTCATATCAAACATGTTAATCACTTGGGAAAATTAAACACGTCTACAGAACTGCTTTTTCCTGTGTAAAAACAGAATTAAGAACAATGGGTCTTGTTCCTTCTTTCACAGGAGGATGACTTTATCCCATAAAACTAGAAGAAACACTTAGAGACATTTGTCAATTGCCTGATTTGATGGCCCTCTCAAGTAATTGGGAAGCTTAGGAGTAGTTTATTTCATAAAGTAGCTGTGAAATGACTTGTCATTTGGCAGGTTCATTGCTAATACATGCTGGCCAATGAAATATTCAGTTCTTGTAAATAATAATCTGATTTTGTCTATGGCAAATAAGGAGAAGAACTACTGATTTTTGTAAGGCAAGTTGTTTTTTTATGGAATTAATGCATGAAACCCTGACATATCCTTAGAACTCTCTCGCTTTCTTGAGCCAAGATATGTCTGTACTATGACAAAGCAAGATGAGCTGATGCTAGGAGGGCAGGTTATTCAGCACGCAAGCGGCCCTTTTATAGCCACTTTATGGTATGCTGATGCCTATCACACAGACATATTTTAGGTCTACGTGTTCGCAGTGTTCAAATAGGAGGATGTCAAAAAGAAACTTGGTGAAGTGGAAGGAAACAAACCAACCTACTGACTAATTAGGAAAGGGGCAAAGAAGAACATCTGAATAACTTTATAGTGCATGCTGACATAAAACATTCCTCTAGTAAACATTTGCTGTGGATATCAAGTGATATGGGTCAGAACAGAAAACTTTCATTTCTAGCCTGCTGACTTAAGTTCAGTCCAAGTTGGTGCCTGACTCTTTTTAATGTGATTTCATGGTTTTGGGCAAGTTCCTAAAACTGTAATTTAACGGGCCTCTTGGAGGAGGCTGGTAATGGAGTAGACACAAAGACTGAACTACCCTTTTACCCCAAATGTAATTGCTAGTCAGAGCTGAAACATGCTGGAGAAGCAGTGTAGCAAGGTCTCTGCTTTTGTTAAATTTGGGAATGAGCGGAGGTTTTGCGATCTGGAGCTTTCTCTGGGAGTAAATTAACTTTTACCTCCTTTCAAATGCATTCTTTAAGACAGTCATGAGTTTTTTGTAGCAGATAGAAGACAGGCACAGTTTATAATCTCATATAGATAAATAAATAAGGCTTCAGCAACCCTGGGTGTAATATACTGTACCTGTTATTAAAATTCCATAGATCACGTAGTGAATTCTGGTTTTATGTTTCTTGCAAAATTCACAGGCTTTATCATATTTCTTTTCTAAATGCCTAGGAAAATGCAAAAAACAGAACAGAAACTTAAGCTGTAGATAAAAAAGAAGAGAAATTTGCACAGGAAGATCAGGTTAAATTGATCAAAATTTCTCCACTGGAGTATGCTACACTTGGTATGGGTTAAATTTGGATCCCAAAGTGCCAAAGAAGATTGTGCTGAGATCTGCAGAGCTTTTGGGGGGGACTTCTTTGGTTTGATGTTGGACAAGTAAAAAAGAAAATCTGGCAGATATCTAATGGACCAATATTATCAGCTATCCAACGGGCCGAAGTTAGCAGGTCAGTTGGGCTAGCCTCTGAAGCACAGCTCTTCTGTGACGTCTGCCAACAGGGTTAGTGCAAACTGGATAGGTAGTTAAAGATTCAGTGCCCATTACTAGACCCACAAAGATTGTTAATATAGCCAGCCCAGCATTGCTATGTGGAGCAGTAGTGTTGCTATAGTTGCGAAGGCCTAAGGCTGCATTTGTGTGTGCAAAATAACCAATATCCATCCAAAACCTTATTACAGTGTGCATAGATGTTTCTGGATATTTGAAAATTTGGTTGTTAATTATGTTAACTTTTCATCTAAGACTCATTAGTTCATAGAAGCTAAAATGATTTGTTATATTTGAATGTTCTATTCTAGTATCTGTTCTTCCAATTATTACATACTTCACTTTCGTTCTTTTCTCATCTCACTAAGGGTAACAGAGTGATTTCATGAGGGAGGCTGAAATTTAGGGAAATAGCAGTTAAAGGAGTTAATTCAACACAGATTTCTGGTGTTAAGTATGCTGGTGATGCGGATGTATTTCAGTTAAAAAAGCTGTAGCTAAGTAAACATCCTCGTATTGTGCAAGCTGAAAAAGGAACCACAGCTATAGCTCTGTCTCTCTAAAGCGGTGCCTCACACCCTACAGTCTATAAAGGCAACGTTATATTTAGAGATGCTAATTATCCAGACCGTACTTGTTTGGAAACTAGATGCAGCTGGAGTCAGATGCACATGAAAATTCAGCACAAATACCCTTCTTTTCTGTACTAAAAAAAAAAATCAATTAATTTGAAAGAAATTGGAGAGAAACAAGGAATGTTAACTTAATTCATATCAGCATTCAGAACAGCAGAGCAGGAACTTACTCCTTCACCAGTACAGAGAGTAACAGGGTCTCTGAGAAATCTTTATTGCTTTTGATATTTCACTTTTAGTTCTGGGAATTCCTGTTGCCTCACAAATCATAGCTCTTTTTTTTTTTTACTTGTAAGAACATTAGGTTATCTACCCAATCTCAGCAGAGAGATTAGATACAACAGGAAAAGAAAGGAAAGGAGAAATGAGAGACAGATGCATGAATAAGCCAGAGTTACTTTATCAAATTTATGGTTCATCCATCAACCAAAAAAAGGAAAAAATATTGTCTACTATCTGTTACCACTACTTATGAGTCCTTTGGCATTTAAAATTGTTATTTTAAGATTACAATTCCTTGTAATCTCTTCTTTGCTCTAACATCTCTCTCTCCCTTGTTATTTTACTATTTTAAGTGATTATCACTTTGGTACCAGGATATCTTAAATGTTTAGGCAGATATGTAATAAATATGCAGCTCTGTTGTGAAAGGTGGCAGAAAAAACATCTTCCTTATGAAATCTGGTTAATTTAACTAAGGAAACATTATTTTCTAAAAGCTGATCCTATAGGCTTAAAGTGCAGCATGCTGCTGATGGCTTTTACTTAACCAAAGATGTTGAAAAAGCAGATATCACTTAAGCACGTTTAAAGGAGTACTTTAATGTGAAATATTTTTATATGCCAAAACTATTCTTGCTTGCATTTTGCAACTCAGAAATCCTTTTTCTGGTCTGCATGTACTCTATAAGTGAATGTTAACACCTTGCACATGTAATGAATCCTTGTTATCAACAGACTGATCTTTCAAAGGGGTTGTGTCTCAGACCACAGGCTATTCAGTACTATCTGTTGAAAGAAATCGATGACATTCAAAATTGAGGCACGCTTTGTGAATGCCCCTTTTGAGCAGATACAAGGAACACATTAGATCACATTAGTGCCTGCTTTTAGGAGCTAATTTGCAAAAAATGACTTGGTAGAGATACCATTGCCCTTGTCAGGTGCTCAACATAAAAATAAACCTAGACAAAGTACAAAACCAAGTACAAAACCGAAGAGCATAGAACAAGCCATAGCCTGAATGTAATCAGAATAGAGCAGTGCACTTCAGCTTCCAGCCTACAAGGGGCTTTCACTGCTTGAGGCAATGGTACCTGCTGCTGATGGAAGAACAAGGGGACCTAGGGAACAGTAAGCCCTGTGAATTAAACCTTATTTATCCCACGGCTCTCCATGGGAGTACAAATAAACAGGAATGAATAAAAACCACACAGGCTTCATCTCTGCCGCAACTCAACCCATCTCTGTGCAGAGATGCCTCTTGTTGAGTGACTCTGTGGGCCAGAGTTTGAGGGGGAGAGACCCCACTAACCTTGTACAGCCAACACTTGCCTGTGCAATTAGCTTACTTCTGGGGAGAAGCTGGATGCCTGCCGCTGGAGAGGCTTATCAAACTTGGATGTTTGATCTATTGAATCTCAGCTTTTGTTTTTGCTAGACCAGACCTTAAATGTTTTAAACAAGAAAGTGTTTCATGTTATGTACTGCTAAAGGAATGACAAATCTCCAAAGAACAGAGAGGAGAAATGAGAGAATATTTAAGTGACTTCTAAATACTTTTGCTAGATTTTTGAAGCAGTATTTTAATATGATGTCATCAGTAAACCTGATCATATTAACAAGTCTTTAAGTTCTGTTTATGTACAACTTGAAAGCATAATTAAAATCTTCACAACTACTTCTGTATGTAAGTGTATCATTTGTACAGGCATGAGACCTTTCCAAGTAGTCCAATTTGAGTGAGACAAACTCCTATCTAAAATATCCAGCAAGCGAGTTCCTAGAATCTGCTGATAGAAAGACAGGTTCAAAGCTGAAATGGTGCACTGTATAACAGAATGCAGTCATAGAAATCAGGGGAAAAGTACAGTATGATTTCTGTGAAGGTTTATATGAAGATTCAATATGACAGAAAAACACTAAGACATTAAAACATAATTTTAAGTATTGTATCTTAATTTTTTTAATGTCTTATACAGGGTTTGTAGTTTTCACCAAAAAAACTAATCCTCAAGTAAAATGTAGATGTGTGCTTTCACTGTGTGGTCACTCGGCACCAGTGCTAACGAAGTGTAAAAATTCTGCTCCATCAAATTGGCTTTTTTTACAGCTATTCTATTCTTATTTTGCACTTGGGTAAATAGCTATGCAAACTGAAGGACAATAATGAATCTTTAACTTCCTGAAAGAGATCACTGTTTAAGACCTCTCTTTAAAAAAGGCTCTTATGGAAATGTTGGAAAAGTACTTAATGTACAAAAAGAAAAAATATTTCTCCTTTCATTTGCAAGGCTTTAGAAGGATAGTTCCACGATCACACATGTCAGTTGAAAAGTATAATAATTTTAAATACAATGTGTTTCTGTGTTACACAAATTGCTAGGCAATACAAAGGTCTGTGTAGCATAGGAGTATGGCAGTGAAATTTAGCGCTGTCGCTCCAGAAGCAAAAACACTGGCAGCTTATTGCTTAGGCCAGGATGAAATGAGTGGAAAATTTACTCATCCAAAAGACGTTACCCTTTCAAGCGTGGTTGCTCATCATCTACTGAGTCACGTTTGTTTTCATGCAGATCGCTCTCAATATTGATGTATTCATCCTCCTGGAAAACAGATCGGTGCCAAAGCTGTGAGAGGGGTGCACGCTTGTTAAGTAAGGTGCGAAAAAACAGATCCCCGCTGGCAGATGGCTGAAGCAGTCTCAAGACTTTCCTGTCTGCACTGAGTGCATGGCTCCATCTCTCCTGTCTGCCACCAATGCTGTGATCAGTATCAGGCAAACCCAGTGGTTAGACCATGGCTGTGAACTTTCCCAACCCATCCACACCATTTTGAAAGGGGAAATAAAGGGGAAAAAACCCACCAGTGTTACTCAGAGCTGAAGAGGGCCCCATACAGAGTACCACTGAAAGGGGAGAGCTGTGGGTAGGGATAGTAGAGCTGCTAATTAGCCAGCTTGCCCAGCACCTCCTGTTGACGACCCCCTGTTTTTGTTGCTTCTCTCTTTGCAGAACTTTAGTATGGTGGAAATTTTATGTATGGAGAATGGTTAAAGGGGTGGGGCTTATTGTTTTAAAAATTTAACTAAGCCAATAAATTTATTCTTAAGAAAAGCTGTTGGGAAACGGTAACAGGTAACGATCCTTTAAAGAGAGCTAGCATCCATGGGCTTTGTAGCAGAGACTTGAAATTTGTCCAGATGATAGCACATTTTCATCAGGAACACACCTTTTTGCCACCTGAATCCACATAAGCCTGGTTGCATTAAAGCTTTTGAACAACCACAGTCTGACCTCCACCACATTCGAGGACTGTCCTTGAGGAGGCTGGGAGCAGCACAGCCCCCAAAGTTGCTCGGCGCACCCGTGGGGGCTGCTGTGCTCACCCCCCGTTACTTCCCCCAGCCTGGTCCAGAGGGGCAGAGGGAAAGCGCCTGTCCCATGGGTATGTACCTCCATGCTCATGGTGGGGCCTGCGGAGGGGACAGCAACCTGGGGCAGGCGACCATTACATTCAAAGGCAGCAGTGCCCTTTGTGCCACACTCACGCCTCCTCGTTTTAATGCTGTGCCAGGGCGGCATGATTGGTCGCCTGCCCTTGGGTGTCCAGTCAGGACCACGGTGAAGGCAGACAGTGTTTTCCTGAGCTGGTGGTTGTGTCCAACCCTCTCGAGAGGAGCTGGCCTGCTGTGCCCAGCCACTTGGAACAGTGGCAGGCTGCAGGTGAGTTTAACTTTTTGTTTTGTGTCACTATTATTTGTGCTAACAGCATTCCCCAAACTGCTGTGTGAAGCAAGGCCCACTGCGGACCTTGCCCTGGCCCCTGCCTTCTGTCTGGCGTTCCTGCTGCAGGTGCTGCTGAAAGTCCTGGAAAGCCCTCGGTTGGTTCCTAGTGAGAGACTTGAACCAGCTCAAAGGCAAAATTAACACACGGCCAGTAATTAAAATGGTGTGGAGGAGTATGTATGTAGAAGCTGCTTTTCGTTCCCCTAGGAAAAAGCTCAGCGTGACAAGGACAGGACTCTCTCAGTCCTCTTGATTGCAGTTTTTGGAGGGGTGGTGGGAGTCGTGTGGTTCTGTGGAGCTGCACTGTAACTTACATCTGCATTTTTGCTAAACTCAATTTCTTTCTGTCTTTGGTCTTGACTGTGAAATAAAGCAAACCTGAAAAATGCAGATGCTGCCGCCTACTAAGTTGCTATTATTTTGGTAACAGGGAGCACTCTTGTCAGTGGCTGTAGGAGGTGGGCTTCTCACCTGAAGGACACTGGGTGCTGATAGGATTGAAATATCATTTATTCCTGGGCTTAAATTTGCAGTATGTTGCATGCCAGTCCTTCTCACAGATTTTTGAATCTACATTATAAATCAGGAGTCGATTGGGTCGAAGAGCCATGCTTTCACGTTTGCAGGCACCTACGCTCCCTGTGGCACCATGTCCTCTCTCCTGGTCACAGCTCGAAGCCCATGTCCCACACCTCCTGCCTCCATCCCCACTACCATTCCCAGTGTCCCCCGCTTCATGTACTGCCCAGGCCAGACCGTGCTCCCCCATCGCTCTCCCCCATGCCACAGCATCCTCCCCGGGCCAGGAGCTCGCCTGGATCACCCACAGCCTGGGCTCTGGCTCTTTGAATTTGTGAAATATACTGTTTGTCTAACCTATTTTTTCTTTTGAGTATCTCAATATAAAAAGCATCAATCTACATCTTTTCACATTGTCTACAATGCATTTAAATATTCTCAGAATATTATTATGTTGCTATTTTATTGTCACAAATGCTTTCCTACCTCTACATTAAAAGGTGTTAAGAAAATCTGAAATCGAAGATCACTTTGTGTCTAACTCTATGCAGACACACAAGGAAAAGGGAGAATGGATCCAAACCCCTCTTCTTCTTTTTTCATGGCCAAACATGACATCAGATCTGGTTCTTGGGCAGTGTTGGCCCTTGCTGAGGCTAACCCAAGGGCTGCACGGAGCGCGTGGACTTCTGCCAGCAGGGGCACAGCAAAGTCCATACTCTGCAGAGCCTCAAAATAAACTCTTCTGCCTCAGTCACAGTGTGCCTGAGAAAGTGTCGGTGTGGGTATAACTATCTCTACTACACTTGCACAAAGTAGTGACTGAATGCTTCCAGCTGAACCTTTTCAGTGGGAAATTGATTTCTTTGATTAAAATCAAGCTTTCATTGACTGCCACTACTTTTCTCCATTTTTCAACAGTTTCAATCAGTTCTGAATGTCCTTTTATTCTTTTTGTTTTGACATTTTCTTTTTTGCTAGCTTTTTTGAAGAGGAAGGCATAGGCACTGTCTACCACCTTCCTCTCCTAAGATCTCAGATCCTGGTCTAGTTCCCAGGAATGTATATCAGAACAGTCCAAGTGATCCTTTCCACTACTGTAAATCTGGAATCACTTCAACTTTGACAGCAGAGGCATTTCTTTGGCAGCATGCCTTTGCTGCCTCTGATCATATGAAAAAAATATTGGAAGATAGAAAAGAATATCCACAGCATGAGAAAACTTCTATTTCTTACGTGCTGTTTCAATACCATCACCAAACTTGGCAAGTAGATATGATTACAACACAAGAAATCACTAGAAGTTTTTAATGGAACTTTTAGAGTAGCAGATTATTTCTGGAGTGTGGATGTGAAAATATTAATACATGACACTGGTAAAATATCTGTGTTTTTTTTTTAACCTGACTCTCATGTCTTCATAGTGAGCTACTCACTATGTGAGCTTAAACAAATGTACAGTCGAAAGAAGTCAAAATGGATGTGTTTATTATGAAGTCATCTGTATTGTATTCTCCTGTTCTTTCTCTGGTCAGTTGTACATCAGAGCTGTTGCCTGCAGTTTGTGTTTGTCTGAAATTTCCCCTATTTTGGATGAGTAGGTATTTAATAATATGTATGCCGTGTCTGACTCGAAGATTGTATCACTAAACCAAATGTTTCCAGCTTCTCTTTTTCCAACGTCTTGGGAGAAAATGCTTCTATATCAACTCCTCGTCCATAGTATTCCCTCTGATCACCATTCCTGATGCCTCTTTTGTATCTTGTATGAAGCCATTATGACATTAGAAAACATTTTTCTGAATCCTACATGTCCTGTCGATTTTCTGTGTTTTTTCCTTCATGTATTTCTGAGAACAGAACTCGTTTCCCTGTCAGTTTATGAATTTTAAATCAAATTCAGGTTTTGTTAAAATATCTGTCTTGGATTTATTACCACAGCCAATTACTGACATTGAATTTGAGGTTTATGAATTTACATAAGGATATTCAAAAGAAAAAAAAAAGAAAAAACCATACCTGATTAGTATGTACAGTTTTCTTATTTTGTGAATTCTTGATTCTCTGTGAATTGTCTCTGAGACCTTTTGGATTTATAACATCCACACCTTCGCTGTCGTTCTGGGGCATGACAAGACCAGAAATTGTATCAGTTCAAATCAAAAGCTGGAAGCCTTTCTCATGTGCAGCAAGAACTGATTTATACTCTGATGCCTGTGCTTCGAGGTTTTACTTTACTAGTATGGGAAGCCTGAAACTCAGTGTACGGAGCTCAGGTGTTCAAGTCCCTGCACTATTACACAAAGTTGTGTCGGTCATGGATGACCCTTTACTAATGTGAATCTGCTGTTTTCTTGACCCAAACTTACATGTCCTCCCAGTGCTGCCCTTTGCCTCAGGACTGGTTCAACAAGTTTACAAAGATCCAGCCCTTCTCCCCACCAAGGGCAAAATGGCCTACGTGAGCCTTCCCCAGGTTGTTAGTACCTTTGCTCCAGTTTATATGCTCCTTATGCATATGCAGTAAATGCATATTTTTTAAAAAATACATACTTCTATTGCTCTTGGAATAAAACACTCAGAGTATCTTTAAAGAGAGCAGTTAGCTTTAGTACATTAACTCTCTGTGGTATACCTTTTATCAGAGTGTACTGAGAGTTGAAGACAGCCATAACCAGCTTCACTATTTCTACTTTTTTTTTTTATTCTGAAGCTGAGTTTTCTCGTTTCTTAATGTCTTGAAGGGTACATTATTTCTTTTTAACGATCCTTGAAGGGCTGGTTCTTACTGTGGTTTCGTAAGAAAGCTGCTTAAACAAAATGTCAGATAACTTACATCCGCAATTGATATGAATGTTTTGTATTTCAGTGGTTTCTTATGGCAGCAGTTATGGTATGGTCGTTTCACTGTGTTTTATTGCATGAAGTATCTCATTATTTACATGGTAATAAAACCAGTAAATTAGTATCTACATTTTGGCTTCTAAGAAAATGATCATTTCCAAATGAACAATACAAAATAAGCTTAATCATAGTAAATTATGATAAGGCAGGAATAAGCAGTACTACTAGACATAAATTAAATTTTGCCTTTTAGTGGAAACATGACCTTAGAAGCAACCAGAACACACTTCAGTAACATATTTTCCTTAAAAATACTCTGCCTCTAAACTTCATAAAAAATCTGTTTCAGTAAAAGTGTTTCTGGAGCCTTGTGTGTCTGGGGGAAGAGGAATGAGTCGCAAGAAGCTGTTGATTCACCTGCTGTGGCCCTGATAAACCAGATGCCGATACCTCAGTTCCCTTCCTTCTAAGAGAAGAGTATCTTTGCATTCCCTTAAGAGGGAGGTATTTTTTTTTTCTAAAAGCACCTCTGTTACTCATTTGTCTTCTAACGGTGCTGTCTTAGGAGTTTGCCATGGCCTCCCCTGCAGTCGACAGTGAAAGCCTCTACTGAATACTCCATGCAGTGCAAAAAAAAATTATCACAAGAAGCAGTGCTTGACTGTAGCATTGAGATATAATATATTAAAAATACTATACAGGACAGCATAGAGAAGTCAAAGTGGTACAGTTCTGTAATTGACACACACACCTCCCTGGGGATAGTCTGTTTGAAGATTTCTGTACTTGTTGCTGAGCAAGAAAAAGCAGAGATTTCTTAGGACTTTTGTCAGCGAACATGTGAAAAACAGTAAACATGTAAGTTGCTCTCTATACGTACCAGAAGTACAGAATAATTTGTGTTGGAAGAAACCTCTAGAAGTCACTTTGTCCAACCCACTGCTCAACTGCAATAATTACATAAGAGTTTCATTTATAGAGTAATTAAAATATATGAATGTATGAGTAATGTAACAGAAAACTAGTAAGAGCACCACATGATTGCTGGAACTCTAAATAGCCCACACTGCAGAATGATAGAATTGTGTTATTTTCTGCAAGCGTAAAAGGCAGTCATTTCAACTGTTCATACCACATTTCTGGCATGTTCCAAATTCAGTAGAAACTGGTTAATTAGTATTGATAACAAGTTTACTTCAGTAAGAGACTACTTCTGTTGACTAAAACGGCGTTTGAGTGCCGTGAAGCTGAGAAATTTTCATAGATTTCACACCTGATTTTTCAAGTACAATCTCTTCATCTTCCCCTTTATACAGTTTTTTTATTTTGTTTGGTGAAAGTGCATGTTATTTAACCCTGCCCCTTGAAGAAAAAGAATTCTTTTTAATTTCTGATAAGAATAGCAGCATTCAAGTGATATAAACCTGCCTATTCCATTTTCCTGTTTGCTTAGAGTCTTTCTGAGTTTGCTGAAGGAACCCCTCACCAAAATGTCAATCTTTCTGTGCTTATCACCTGCTGTTGCAGATTGCTACCTAAGCACCCGGCTCAAGCAGAAAAGCTTCTACCTCATTTGCTCAGTATCCTTTTCTACCTCCCTGGAAATGTCCGCAGAACAAAACGTTGCAACAGAAAACGGGAATTCAAGCCTTAGGGACTATAGCCAGCACAGTCCTGTTACGAGCACAGGCCAGATCCAGCAATATGCCAAGTCACTTCTGAACCTACTCAATCTGAGTGACATAAGGAAGCAGGAAGTTAAAACCAAATTAGAGAAGCTTGGTTGGGAAGATTCCCTTTAGGCCACACTTGAAGGATTACAGAATTCATCCATCTACTTTGAATGTTGACAACATGAAAAGAGTTACACAGTTGCGCTTCTGCTTTCACACTCTGCTGTACTTTTCGTGATTGGAATTTCCTGCTTGTAAAATATTTGAAAAGGCAAGGGCATGGAGCTATCTCGTACTTGTAAGTGAAGTGCTCTTTCAATGTTTGTTTAGTTCCCTCTAGATGAGCGGTTCATTTGCCAAGTTTTTTTTGCGTAAGTACATTCTTTGACCTTCCCTCCTCTCTCCCCTGCCTTTCGAGGGAGGAGTGGTTTTGCAAAGAGCACATAACTTCTATCGGTTGTGCTTTTAACAGCAGCACACACTCTAGAGTAGATGGTTTTCCGCCCCTGCCAGTTAGCGATGAAAACAGATCGGCTATCAGAGCATCTAGGCAGCTGCTTAAACTGTTTATGGTTTAAGGGTGGGTCATTACAATAGCTTTGGAGATTAGAATCAGGGTACTTAAGGAACTCAGAGGAAACCAGATGCTTCAAAGGCAAATGTTTTAAGTTACTATGTTGGATTTCATTGGATTTCCAATTGCATTCAGTCAGCTCAAATTAAGCCATCTGATTTACAGTTCAAAACTTTGCTATTCTTTTAATACTCAGTGTAATTGAAGACCATTCATCTAAGTTTTCCCCCATGTACTACATTTTGCTAGCTAGAGTGTCATGATTCTGAAGGAGTTAAAATGCATTTTAAGCATTGAGGAAGAATTTTTTCGATCAATAATCGTAGCATTCATAAATTCCTGTCAAATGATAGAATTCAGTGTACAGGACAGGAGGGATGAATGTTCATTATCCATGTGTTAAACTATAGTAAATGAGCTGTAGAGACAGCAGATAAGAAACGTACTGCCAGATTTAAATTCAACTGGCTAAATCTTCATGAGGTGTTTTGAAATGGGTTGTAAATTAGGCTCATCCACCTCTGAGTACACCAGTGTTTTCTTTAAAAACTTAAGTTGTCAGCCTTGAGTAGGATGGTTGGATAGTATCCTGAAATGCAGGATAAACAAGTTAAAATGATAGACTGGCACAAGCTGGCCATAAAAAAAAGAAATAGGAAATCCGTTTGCTCTCGGAGCAAGTAAAATGTATGAGAGGCAGAAAGCAAAAACCAGAAAAACCGAAACAGGAAAAAAAGATGTGCACATTCCTGAGAAGATAACAAGGTGCACATGACTCTTGCTATTATGGCATTCAAAACATCTGTTGATGGCAAGCAGGAACACAATGAGGATGACAAGGACAAGAATCCTAAAAATGGTTTTCACAAGGAATATTTACTTAGCCTGAGAAGAAAAGAGCTTAAAGATATAACTAACTTCCACTATTTCCTGTAAGAGATGGGGTGGTATGTCACAGTTAATTTTTTTTTTTTTAAAACAAGCATGGCTTTGGAAAGCAAGTTTTGAAAATGTGGAAAAGGACTGCATAATTTCCTGCCTGGATCTGATGGCGCTATGCAGTGCAATGCCTTCATAATTTCCAAGGGAAATTACAACAACCATACCCATGAAATTGAAATTCTTAATAGTGCCTATAGTCTTAATTAACCAACCAGACAAGAGTATCTAGGAAGCTGTAGAGAATGGTGATAAACACAGAAATAAATGGCATTTTTTAGGATATGTTATAAGCTTGTTTGAATGTAATGGAGTATGAAAGCTGCATATGTTATAGCAGTATCAATGTCCTTATGTAGAATGAGTAAAAAGCAGAATTTTAAAGCAGATCCTTCCTCAAGTCAGCTTCTTAAGAGCACGGTGTGCTTTGCTACAGAAACAGGTACCAACTGCTTAATGCATCATAACCCTGACCATAGGAGGCCAGTGAACAATAAGTATTTATTAGATGTTATCTTCCCTTTGCATTGTATTTATTTTATGTTTACCTCTGTGTTCCTTTTAAAAGTCAGGGAGTTTTTTGGTCCCATCTACCACTCCTTTTTATGAGCCAGCTCTTATAATTCCTTGAAGAGTAAGTGTGACTTGTTGTTTAATGTCATCGTTAGCAGAGATCTGAATCATTGGAACAGATTAGGTAAAACCTTTGCCTCTTAAATGAGGGCTAAACACAAGCTAGGTAAATCCAATCTCAGTTTTAAGGTTACTGTTAGTGTTGCAGGGTTTCTGAGAAGGAAATTCTGTGGGCAACTGTAGTGATCCTCCAGCCAGTGCCATCAGAGAGAGATGAGAAATGCAAGAGACTCAGTAGTGTTTCTATACACTGTGTGTGACATTATTGTAGGTATAGATACAGAATGTATTACATTGGCATGTAGACACTTAACATGAACAATCTTCTGGATAGCGATGAGACTATGAGGATAATGATTTAGGTTCCTTAAATTGCATGACATATTTACAGGGGGAAAAAATATTAAAAACCTCAATGTCTCGGTATAAACAACGTGGCAATCTGTTGATTCTAGCTACGAGGTAACATCCAGAGCAGGTAACTTTAGCATGTAGGACTTAACAATTGCATTGGGGTTTTATTAAGGTTACATTGCACTGAAAGGCAGGAGAGTGCTTGGGAAGATTGGCAGTGTGAGTAGAGCTATGTATGTTCTTAAAACTGATACAAGAAGCTTACTCATTGTAATACACTCAAATGGCTGTTAGTAACTCAGATGTCCCTAATATTGAAAAGAGAGAGAGAATGAGAGACACAGAGGAGCTGTACATTTGGGTTTTGTTGTCTGTTTTCTTTTGAGACCGTTTTGAGCTGTTAATGAGATAAAAAGTTGCTCCTGCGTCTCCCAGGTACTGGCATTATCACAAGGCAATAACGCAGGACCGGCAGTTTTTGATGCTATGCCTATAAACAGTTCAAGTGGAATCTGCACAGTGTACAAAAGAAGTAGATGATATTTTGCAGGATCATACTTTTTTTAAATGTAATTGATGGTGTTAACAGAACTTTATGTTATGTGGATGCATGCCCTCTCTGAAAGTTAACATTGGTTAACTGATTTCTGAGGGTTGGTTGAAAAAGTTTTATACTTCCGTGATGCAATGAAAATCCTATCATAGTACAGAAGAATGCGTGTGTTTCAGCCAATATGAAATTGAGAAGAGCTCAAATAGTTACCCCTCTTTGACCATTTGTATGACTAATCAAAAGGCAGATTACTCTGTATTACAATCTCTTCATCCTGTTAGAGTCCCTCCACAACAGAAGGCACAATGCCTCTCATTCTTGACATAATAAAGCTCTGATATGATCCTTCATGCATTACTTGCTAGGCTTGAGCTGCTTTGTATTACGTTGAGAGCTCTTTTCTTGATTTATTTACTTTATAAAACAAACTACTTAACCCAGGTTTACTTTGTCCCTGTCTTATTTTTTCTATCCCTTTGTTCGTTAATCATTAAATGGCTCAGGTACATCTGAAGGTACCTATGGAGTGCAATCCCATACTGATACTTAAAATGGCTTAAATTAATCCCTTTCCAGAACACCTTTATATTTTGTGGTTTAGAGAAGATACTCATTGCTTAATACTAGAAGACACAGTATCTTGGAGGAAGAAAAGCATTCACTCTTTGTGCAAGAAAAGCTCAAATACAAGAAAATTGGCAAAAATTATGAGATTGTTTTCTTCTCAGTGGCTTCTACTGTGATTTGTTTTTCTATATGCAGAAGTTTACCTATTTCCTTCTGTGTCTTATTTTCTCTAGGAAATTACTTATATGTTGAGGCAGAGATAGACAGTGTAAATGTAAATGTGAACATCTTCTGGTGTTCCAGGAAGAAAAAGTAACCAGAAAACATGACTCGGGCCCCAGGTTTCATTGTTGGACAGTCTCCATGATTTGGCATTTGAATTATTTAAATCAGAGAGGATTTGCAGGCTCTTGCAAACCTCTGCAATGGACAGGAAAGGAAGCACCTGGGTTCCCTACACATTGCCCAGGTGAACTAGCTGCATAAGTCAGAGAATTATCCCGGGTGACTGTACTGTGCTCCACACAGACTGCTGGGCAAGAGGTGATTTTCAGCTTAGGTCATTCAAGAGCATTCGGCACCGAGCTTCTGCAGCTAGGGAGGGACTTCTCTCCTTCATGGGTTTGTATGCACAGACTTTGGAAGCTGACTGCGCTATCTTAGGCACACATTTTGTGTGAAAATGCAGCCAGGATGAAGCCCTCTCATAGCTCATTCACTTGAACTGAGGGAAACCCAAGTTCAAATTGCTTGTCTATCTGCTCTGAAGCACAGATGCGTTGAGGGCTCTCTGATTACCCAGGAGAATGCCCTAACCACTGGGCTATCATGTTTTAAGAGTTATCTCTCTGTTTCCTCTTGAAGCTGCCCACTTAGCGTGAATTATTAACTGTTGGCTGGAGCAGGGACTTGACCCTAACTCCCTTCTATTCCGCAAATATTCCCTGACCGGCAGATTATCAAATCAACCTATTGCTTGTCTGTCTCTATAGCCCAATGAATAAATATCCAGATGGTTGGATGTCACTGGTGTTACATAATATTCCACATGCTTAGCATCTACAAAGACTTTTCTGTGTTATTTGAATACTGTTGGCCGATGTTCACACCCACTACTTGCTACCCTTCCTGGTAGCTGAGCTCAGGAGCAGCGTAAGGATCAGAGGCTGCAGAGGAGAGCAAGAGGTACTTTGCTAGCACAGCACTTTTTAGAGCCACTGCCTCTCCCTGACCTGTTCTACCTTCAGTAACGAGTACAGTGAACCGGCCTGGCTGTGGGTTCTGTTTGTCTCTGCTCTAATTCCTATGAAAGTGCAGGGATGCTGGGCACTGAGAAACACTAACTAACTGGTTAACAGTTTTTTTGGTGCTTCCACTTTTGAAATCTGCATTTTTTAAATGGCTGTTAACATTACTTCGTGCGCATAATATGCAGAACCTTCTGGGTTGGCTCCTTACCTCCTCTCTGTGCTCTTCTGGGGAGAAAAACAAGACAATTGCACTTATTTTATGCATGGAAGAAAGAAGATATGCCCTACTGTGATTATATGGTTATTTTTCTCGTATTATTAATATACATTGCTTTGATGAGATATATGTCTGCTGCATAATGATGACCTCCTCTTCAACAAAACTGTGAATTACCTATCCTCAGGAAAAAGCAGCAACTGATAGACCAGATGGGAGAGGTGGATGAGCTAGTTGTGAGATCCATCAGCCTATGAAATATTACTGAGTCAGGAGACTTTTCAAAGATACCAGTATGCTAGGCAGCAGATGAAGGCAATAAGCGGAGCCTACTCCTGAATGTGTCGATTGTGCTCCAGCTTTTTATACGAGAGCCTTGTACTTTGGCAGGATATCAGTGCAAATCATGTGGAGTGTTGTAAAATATCTGCAGGCAGAGAGCAGAAATTGCTTTTTCTTTGTTCAGGGACTGAAGTAAGCATTGTTAATTGTTTTTAAGTCCTTCCTCTTCCCCACAAAGCAAAGGAAACCACGCTTACCTGGAAGGCCAAATTGTGCACTCCTGAGCGATCACGGATGGTCTCCTTCAGCTCCATGTGCCTAGTATGGGCAGAAGGATTTTTGGGTGAATGTAGAAAGCTACTTGCAGCACAGGGCAACAGCAGCCAGCACCTGGTTAATCCATTCACAGGGTTGGTGACTGTCACTTGAAGTCTAGTTAGCTGGAGGCACTCTCAGGTTGCTCTTGGTCGCTTATAGCTCCACCTTCTCTCTCCCCTGGCACAGCCCCTTTTGGACAGTGTGGGAAAATGCATTCAATGTTTCTTGAGACAAGAAGGGAGGATTCCTGTATCTCTGGGTGATCCCAAATGCAAATATGTGTACTTATATGACTTCTGGCTTTCCTCACTTGCCTGGGGGAAAATCTTCCCCACCCAGATCTTAGAGAGATCAACACAGGTTTTGTGTTTTTACAGCTATTCTCAAATCACTGTTTCCGTGACGTTATTGTGGCTCTATTTTCATAGTGATTAGGGACTTCATCTAGCAAGAGAAAACAAGGGAAAAAGAGCAACTCCCAAACCTCCAACAAATATTGGTTATGCATTTTCAGTTGGCATGCCAAATCTTATGGCATGGGGTCATTTGGTTATCTGTTCTCAGATAACTCACTTTTAACTGGAGAGTTTTCTAATACTTTTCAGGCTTGCTATTTGCAGTATGGCAAAGTTATATTCTTAGAACTATCAGCTGGGTCTCTTACCCATGTTTTTGGTTGCCTATGGACTTTGTATTTACAGCTTGTTCTGTGTAAGTTCACTGAAAATAGTAGCACTATTACAGACACTAATGTCAGACAGGATTTGAATGAATATAACTTTTGTCTTTAAGGACAACAAAAATGAGGGAGTGTTCTGTTTCTTTGATATACAGCAATGTATATTTATGTACTCATTAAGTGCCTAAATTTGTAACTTTCTACATGGGGATTGAAAATGTCATGAGTTTTGCCTCATCCTGTGAAAAAACAAAAAATTATGTCCTGTTTTAGCAATAAAACCAGAATGGACTAGCATGATTGAATATATTCTTGGAAATAAAGAACAGTTACATGAAAAATAAGATGATGCTTCTGAGGAATCTACATGGGGATTGAAAATGTCATGAGTTTTGCCTCATCCTGTGAAAAAACAAAAAATTATGTCCTGTTTTAGCAATAAAACCAGAATGGACTAGCATGATTGAATATATTCTTGGAAATAAAGAACAGTTACATGAAAAATAAGATGATGCATCTTTCTGAGGAATCTTCCAACTATGTTTTAATTATATTATAAATCATACAGTTGCAATACATGCTCTCTGAATCTTGTAACTATTGCTCAAAAAGAAGGACTAGGGTTTTTTTTCTTTTTTTTTCAGTAAGGAAGCAAGACTTTTAATGATATATTCTGTTTTTCAGTGTTCAGAATCTTTTTTGATGCCCCAGGTTTTGAAAACAGCATGTTTGTTGCTATTTGTATTTGCCCTGTGAGTAGAGCAATTTCTGTGACTAATTGCTTCTCTCTGCACACTACTCACCAGCAAAAATAGCTGCAAATATCTTTAACAAATTTGATATAATTGCCTGCTGATTACTGCATACCTCAGCTGTTTCTCTCTTCCTTTCTTCCTTCTATCCTGCTGCCAGTTCTTGGACATGCTTTTCCTATCAGAGGGAAGAGGGCAGAGGAAACAAGGCAGTGAGTCATTTTCAAATCCAGCCCATGCAATCCTAAAATCTGTAGTCTGCACTTGAATGGTTGGAAGAAAGTTCTACCCTGGTAACTATGCCAAGACACAAGTATTTTCTGCTATTGTTCCTCTTCTGGCAACTTGTTAGATCATTTTTAAAACTGGTTTTCTCATTGAAAAATGTCAGGATAACACTGACTTGACCATTTCAGTGCAAAGTTTCCTCTTCTGAATTATATTTTATGTTAGAAAACTCACAGGATACTGAAAGCAAAAACACCCACATACCCAAGACCAATCCTGAACCCACTGTAGAAAACATGAAATATGCCATTTCCCTGTGGACAAAGGACCATGTAGTTAAACAAAATGTGGGAACTCACTGATGTTTTTTGTCAGGATCAGCCAGCAGTCTACTTAATGTTTGATTTACAGCAAACCCCTTCCCGTTTCTGGTTAGTTTAAATACTTACATGAAGACATGGGCTTTCAAGAAGTGTTACGTGTCTGAAGGATCTCACATCCTGCCATTTCAATTGATAACAAGCCTGGACATCTGTTTTCCACTTATGTGATTCCTCCAGCTACAAGAAGGCATTTAAGACTTGCACTCTCAATTTTTAGGGTGTTGTTACAACACTAGACTAACAGTGCTAGGCTCAAGCAAATACGTGTTGCCAAAATTCTCCTGACTAATAACAGAGAGAAAAATTTACAATAACTGAAGAGTTACTTCCTAAGAATAACACTAAGAAATTTTATGTTCCATCCCAGTATTTCTGCATGAACTCTGGACTCTCTTTCTCTTAGTTAGAGGAAGACCAACCAAAAAGCCTAATTCTTTCACCGAGTTTCACAGGTAATTGAGATTTATATTTTTCCTAGTGTGAATAATACATGGAGCAAGTTCATTCTCATTTGAAGACATAATTTTCCTGGGTGCTTCTCACTTCCTTCTTTAATGGTAGAAATTTATGAGTTTACTGAAAGAATGCTGCTATTTTGCTTAGCAGGCCTGAGAAACTAGGAAAGGAAAGCATTTTATTGTATTAAAACAGCAATCTGGAAAAGGAGCTCCATAGCACAATGAGTATGCGAAACTACTTTTTTATATGGACTAAGGAAGATTTCATTTCAATGTATTGTGTATCTTTACAACTTTGCAGGCAGCTGGCACAATGAACCACTGTTGTTTTATCACACATATGACCAAAACCTAGAAAATGAATAAACTTGAGAAATGAAAATTTTTTAAAAAGTTTTGTATATAACAGTTATTTTCTTGGATCCTTTCCTCAAAACGCAAGAGGTGTTTTCAGTCATTCCCCAGAAATTTATTAAGGAAGCAGAAAGCTTGAACATCACCCCCTCAAAGTGTTTTCCTTAGATTCTAATGCAGGTAAAGGAAACCAGAGGTCTTGCTAACAGGAGAGGCTTTCAACAACACAGCAATGCTCAATCTGCTCTGAAGTTGTCATGCTGAAAGGGTTAAATCCCTGACAATCCCTGGCTAAAACCTTGCTGTGATACACAAAAAGCTTTACTTGTATTTTTCTTAGCTTCACTTGCATAGTTTTAGTTATTTGCCGAGTAGAGTTGATGATAGGACATTTCAAAACATGTAACTTCTTGCCTGACAAGATTAAACAGGCCTTGAGCTAGCTCATTAGGCTTCCTGTGTAAATCACTGATAGTAGGAACTCAGGATGACTGTGTTGAGATAAGTGCCAAAAAACTAATTTAAACTGACCCCCTTGTAACATTCCAGAGTCGAAGGGCTGATGATAAGCTAATTTAATGACTATACATGGACAAAGGAAGCCCAAAGTTCAACTAGCGGACAGAGTGAGGAAGACTATGGACGACCACCGGAGGGTGAAAAGACCCTAACCCTAATTTCACTGAGCATGCTTGGACTATGTAAATGAATTCCGGGAACTCATCACCGTAAGACCACCCTTTCCAGGAAATCTGATGAATATGTATGATTTTTCTGTATATAAACTGATGTGCTTTGCTAACCCGTTGGAGCACTTGTGGCGGAGCAATCCCCAGTGCTGCCCAGCGCTGTATTAAAGCATGCCTGCTTAATAACAAACTGGTTGTTATTGAGTTATTTACCTCAGAAAACCGTCCCGATCGAGCCTCCTCCTGTGAGGAGCATCGAAAGATGTGGGCTCGGTACCAACTTTGTTTCAGTTTGGCGACCCAGATGGGACCATCTCTGTCCGGCTGCAGGAACCCCTGAGCCGGCGACTCCCTTGGCTGGCCCCGGAGAATTCTCTGGAGGGACTCACCGATTTGGTGGATCCTCGCGGGGGCAGACAAGGACCTCTGGTAAGAATAAAGCATTCTTTTGGTTTCAAGACCGGTCATTTGAAGCTGCTCATAAGTCGCGGTTCGTGAGAACCCCGTCGGGTGGCATACAATTGCATGTACAATTTGTATTGATCATTTGGTTACTCCGTTGCATGGTTGTATTGATCATTTGATTAGTATGGTTGTTTGTTTGTGCATTTGTATCTGATTTTGGTTTACATATGCATGTGTGATACACGCATATGTCTGGTATACGCGTATTTGAAAATCTCTGATCATGCTATCTATGTCATAATTGTTATTGAATCTATGATACTAATTGTTAGTTGTGTGTGGTGTTCGTGCCCCGGCTCCTGTCCTTGTGTCGCATAAATTTTAGAATGGGGAACCAACCAGGCAGAGTTTTGAAAAAGAACACTTTGGGCTGTATTTTAGCTCATTGGAAAAATATTGGGGGACCACCTGGAGGGAGTGTAAATCATAAAACCTTAATTAAATATTGTAATCAGTGGTGGCCTTTATATAAGCTAGAAGATGGAGAAAAATGGTCTTTTAACGGAACATTGAACTCCAGTATTGTGTTGCAACTCATGTTATTTCTGCGCCAAGAAGGAAAATGGGATGAAGTGGTTTATGCAGATATGTTTTTTTACTCTGCGAAATCACCCTGAATGGCAGAAAGAATGCGGAATCAATTTAGCACCTCGGGACCCTATGGTCCTGGCGACAGAAAAAGAGAAAAACAAGCAAAATGGGAAACTAAAAAGATGTTGCTCGGCTTGTAGCATTGGACAGAGATGTTTAAAGATTGATCCATAGAATGAGAGATTAGAGGATTGTTTGCCTCCACCAGAAAAAGAAGGTGATAGAGAAGGAAATACTAGTGCTGTTGGGGGTGAGGAACCAGGGGCAAGGGAAAGGGAAGAAACTAATGTTGGATTTTCTCCCATCATTACCAGAACTCGAAGTAAGGTGGGACCTATCATACAGGCTCCACTAAGACAGGCAATGGGAGTGGGAGGACCTGTCAGAATTAAAGTGC